AACTCTCTTGTTGCAAGAAAGACATGACCAAATAGATCGTGTGGAATATGTACATTACATGATCATCCAATAGATGGTTGTCCATTGATCCAAGATGTCACATTGGCTCAAGTCAATGCAGTCGGTAACTTTCCAAGACCTCTCCAAAGAGCTTATAATCCATACGGCAATACTTACAACCCAGGATGGAGAAATTATCTGAATTTCAGTTATGCTCAAAACTCAAGGCAGAATCAAGGTTATCAAGCGAGACCACCTCCACCACCACAACAGCCGCATAAGACATCATTAGAGTTAATTGTCGAGTGGTCAGCACTTTCCCAGGACAAATTCCAGATTCGTACTGAAAACTACTTACAAGAGATAGACAAGTAGATGAGCCAACTGGCTCAAACCGTAGGCCACTTGGAATCACAAGTTAAACTTCCATCCCAATCCGAGGTAAACCCAAGGGAAAATGTCAGCGCCATCACTCTTCAGAGTGGTACAGTAGTGGCACCACCTGTTCTAAAAGATGAAGCAATCCAAAAAGGGAAGAAGATTGTTGATTCAGGATCCCAGAGGAAGAGTGACAAAGAACAAACATATCCAACGCCATCTCCCTATGATGTGCCACCACCTTTTCCATCGAGGTTAGTGAAAAGAGATAAACAAGTTGAGGAAAAAGAAATACTAGACATATTTTGGAAGGTGGAAATCAACATACCTCTCCTTAAGGTTATCCGAAAGGTTCCAAGATATGCCCGGTTTCTAAAGGATCTTTTTACGACAAAGAGGAAGCTTTCTGTGGTTGAGAAGGTGAATTTGAGAGAACATGTCTCAGCTGTCTTCCAACGAAAGTTACCACCAAAGCTGAAAGACCAAGATATATTCGCAATACCCTGTAAAATTAGTAAAGTTGGGATAAAACGAGCCATGTGTGACCTTGGCGCCTCTATTAATGTAATGCCTCTATCTGTTTACAAAAATGATTACTAACGAGCCTTTGAAGGATACAAAGATCTCAATTCAGCTTGCCGACAGATCGGTGATCTATCCGGAAGGACTCTTAGAGAATGTACTGGTAGAGGTAAACAACTTAATATTTCCCATTGATTTTTATATAATTGAAATGGAGAATGATCGCACAAGAACATCATCTGATATCCTATATGGGCATCCTTTCCTAAGTACTGACACACGAAGATTGATGTAAGAAGCGAGATTTTAACCATGTAATTTGACGATGAGATTGTTAAGTTTGACGTGTATAAGGTAATGAGATATCCTAACAAAGGGGAAAGTATAAATTCTGTTAATATAATTGATCCTTTGGCTGATGAATTTTTAAAGACTAATTTTTCCTTTGATCTATGCAGGGAGCTAGAAGTTCATGATGAGAACATATATTCTGATTATGCCGAATTAAATTTTATTTCCTCTAAGTCTAAAGTTCTACCCTCTGTTGCAGGCGCCTGAAGTTGAACTGAAACTATTTCCGGATCACTTGAAGTACGCCTTCCTCGAGGCAAATAACACATTGCCAGTAATTATATTGAAAGGATTGTACGAGGAGGAAGAAAAAGATTTAATAATGGTTTTACGCACACATAAGGAGGCTATAGGATGTACCATCGCCGACATAAAAAGGTTGAGTCCATCCACATATATGTACAAAATTAAAACCGAAGAAGGATAACACCGACACGTGAGGGCCAACACCAGTTAAATCCACCGATGATGGAAGTGGTAAAAAATGAGATACAAAAACTCCTTGAAGAAGATATTATATATCCAATTTTGGATAGTAAATGGGTAAGTTCGATACATGTAGTTCCTAAAAAAACAAGAGTTACTATGATCGAAAATACTGAGGGAGAATTTGCACCAACACAAGTTTAGAATGGATGGAGAGTCTGTATCGATTACAGGAAGTTAAATTCATTAACCCGAAAATACCATTTTCCTCTTCCATTCATAGATCGAATGATAGAAATATTAGCAAGTAAAACTCACTATTGTTGTCTTGATGGATTTTTAGGTTTCTTCCAAATTCCAATAGCACCTGAAGTTTAAGAAAAGACGATATTTGCATGCCCATTCGGCACATTCGCTTACCGACGAATGCTTTCGGACTTTGCAATGAACCTGCCATGTTCCAAAGGTGTATGATTAGTATTTTTTCTGATTAGTTGAGAAAGGTATTGAAGTCTTCATGAATGACTTTACTGTTTACGGTAATTCATTTAATGAGTGTATATTAAACTTAACAAATGTGTTGTATCGGTGCCTAGAATTTAATATTGTTTTGAATTATGAAAGTGTCATTTTATGGTTGATAAATGTTTAATTCTTGGCCATATTGTTTCTTCTAAAGGAATTCCGGAAGATAAGGTAAAAACCGATATAATACGTTCACTTCCTTACCCCACTACGGTGAGGGAAATTCGTTATTTCCTTGGTCATGCAGGTTTTTACCGCAGATTCATTAAGGATTTTCCAATGTGGCACAGCCATTATGCGAGTTGTTACAGAATGATAAAACCTTCAATTTCGACCAACAATGTAGAGGATCATTTGGCGTTTTAAAGGAAAAGTTGGTTTAGATACCCATAGTCCAACCGCCAAATTGGGATTTTCCCTTCAAAGTCATGTGTGATGCTTCGGATGGAAGTGTTGGAGTAGTGCTCGGACAAAGGATCAGGAAAGAGCCTCACGTTATCGCCTATGCGTCACGTACCTTAGATTCTGCACAACGAAATTATTCAACAACCGAAAAAGAATTATTTGCTATCATTTTTGCTTTAGATAAGTTTAGATCATATCTTCTTGGCACTAAAGTTGTTGTTTTCTCTGATCATGCATCCTTAAAGTACTTGCTTAGCAAAAAAGAGGCGAAAACACGACTAATCCATTGGATCTTACTCCTCCAAGAATTTGATTTAGAAATCAAGGATAAGAAAGGATATGAGAATTTGGTGGTCGATCACTTAAGCCGGCTTCCAATCTCTATAGTTGATCTTCCCGTTCGTGAGGAATTCCCAGAGGAAAACTTGATGATGGCGTAGAACTCAATGCCTTGGTTTGCAGATATAGTTAATTACTTAGCCATAGGTAAATTACCATCTGATCTGACGAGAGCCGAAGTAAACCGTATTAAAAGATAATCTTGTTTTTTCATTTGGGATGATCCGAATCTTTGGAAGCATTGTTCAGAGAGGTAATTTGATGATGTGTTGTTGAAAGTGAGGTAAACTCAATTTTAAATTTTTTTCATTCTTATTCGTGTGGTGGACATTTCAGACCAAAGCGGATTGCTCATGAAATTTTGGAATGCGGTTTCTTTTGGCCTCATATTTTTTCGTGATGCTTACTTATTTTGTAAATCATGTGATAATTGCCAATGTGCAGGTAATTTGACTCAAAGAAATGAAATACCTCTTAATCCTATTCAAATATACGAAATATTTGATGTTTGGGGACTCGACTATATGGGTCCTTTTGTTTATTCCTTTGGCAATTGTTATATAATTCTTGCGGTTGACTATGTTTCGAAGTGGGTAGAAGCTAAAGCCACTCGAAACAACGATGCCAAAACTACTATTTAATTTCTAAAAAATTGTATTTTGTTGCAGGTTTGGCACACTAAGAGCGATAATAAGCGATTGCCGCACACTCTTCATCAATCGGGTAATTGATACACTTATGAAAAAGCATAGAGTAAATCACCGGATTGCCACGGCTTATCATCCGTAAACGAACGGACAAGAAGAAATATCAAACCGTGAAGTAAAGATAATTCTTGAGAAAATAGTCAAGCCAAATCGCAAGGATTGGAGCTTGAAATTGATTGATGCTTTTTGGGCTTATCGAACTGCATATAAAGGAACTATCGGCATGTCGCCATATCGCCTTGTATTCGGTAAGCCATGTCATTTACCAGTCGAGCTGGAACACAAGATATATTGGGTTGTAAAACAATGCAATATGGAATTGGAAGCGGTTGGTGAAACACGAAAGTTATATATAAAGAAACTTGAGGAAATCTGGAGATATGCTTACGACAATGCCGGGATATATAAAGATAAAACAAAAGAATTCCATGATCAAAAAATTACTTGTAAATCTTTTTCTATCAGATAAAAAGTTCTTTTTAATTCAAAGTTAAACCTTTTTGCAGGTAAACTTCGATCGAAATAGAGTAGACCTTATACGGTAACTGAATTTTTTTTCTCATGGCGCAGTCGAACTTGAAGATGATTTGGGTACTCGATTTAAAGTCAATGGACACAAAATAAAACTGTATTATGTGAATAGCCAAGCTTGCTTAATTGAAGATCTCGGCTTAGAAGAACCTGTAGTATGAATCAGGTCGTCGAGCTAACGATGTTAAACAAAAGCGCTGCATGGGAGACAACCCATTGTTTTTAATTCCGTTACATTTTTATTTTTATTTTATTTCGGTTGAGCATGTTTCGTTTCATTTTTATTATTTTGCAGGAACCAAGTGTTTTTAATCAAACTTAAACGATGGAGATTTGTGAAATTATCATTCCAACAGTGCCAATTTTGGAACACCAGGAGTAGTGTAAATAATGCAGAACAGTGGAACAAGGAAAAATACCTGTGCACACCGTTTCATTAAACGGCGCACGTTAGCCCAACCCTTTGGAGACCGGCGCACGTTAGCAAAACCCACATGAAAATTTCCCCCCTTTTTGTTAACATTCTACCGCCCCCACTACCCTATCTAAATTTCTTTTACTTTGATCGTGGACCCCACCCCATCCCTATCTCTATCACTTTCCATTATAATTTTAAACTCCCTTTTATTCTCATCAAAACAAAAGTTCACTCAAACTCCAACACCCCCACGCACGCCAGAAACAAATTAAACCCAACATCCTTTCTTCTTCTCTAAATCGATTACCTCTCCTCAAAAAACACATTCATCGTCTCTTCTTCTCCTCGCCATCGTCGGCCTTATCGCACTACTCCATTCATGCCAATGAGCTTCAAACCGTCTGCTCCTCTCCACTCCACAATGGTGCGTACAAGAAACCTATTAGGCGACGCCATCGCTAATCCGCCCGCCGTCCTTGGCGGATGCCACAGCCATAATGCGCCAGTTTTTGTCGCCACACCAAGTGACTCCAACTCCGTTCCACTGTCACCTCCTGTTTGCACCGACTGCCTCTTTACGTCCCGGGTCAAGCACCTCTCGTTGTCTATCACCGTCGCGCTCCCCTTATCCATCGTTCTTGTCAATGCCGACTATAGGAACGATATCATCTTATTCGCGACCAACGGGCTTCCCATCTTGTTCGATGCATTCGGCGGCATCGAACGACACTCCAGAGGTAAACTCTACTCCTATTTTGGTTCAACCTTTACTAATGTACCATCCGATTTATGGTTTTACAGAGGATTTAAATGCTGGTTTTCTACCCCCAGATCCTTCTCCTACAACATCAAGCTCTTAGTAACAACCTGGGCAGCATGCTTCGTCGGCCCGTTCCTCTAGCCCGGTTGATTTCCCTGCTCCAACAGTCCACCGCCTGCCCACAAGAATCCCGAGCGCAACCGACTGGGTCAGTCGTATGCTGTCCCAACCAAAGAAACTCTGTACAGTTTCTTGCAATTCTCAAATGAGGAATTTTTACGTTTTGAGTCGGTAAGACATCGTCCGTTTCGTATAGGTAAATATATTCCGACTCAAACTTTAGAAACCTTAGATTTATGTGAATCTGTCCATACTTATTTTGCTACCATTGGTTGGTATTTATATTCGATGATTAATTGTGGCACGTTTTATGAACTTGTCTTTGAATTTTACGCCACTTTTAATCTCTCGCCGAATCATCTTATTAATGTTTATTCGCCTGATGTCGTTACATTTCGATTATGCGGACACTATTTTTCAATGTCTATTTCTGAATTTAATATTGTTATGGGGTTCGTGACGGATGTCACGAATCCTGCTTATCTGACTGTTTTACTTGAGATTCCTCAGGACTTCCTTGCCGACATGGCTTATGAGACACTTACCGGCTTGGCTGGCCATACGTTCAACACTCGCTCGACTCGAGCTCATCTTATCCACGACCCGACCTTGTGCTACATACATCGTTTCCTCGCCTACAATTATTCTGACCAAAATGACTCGTCTTCCTCCTTAAGCCAAGTTGAACTTTTCTTTTTATGGTGTATGTTAGCCGGCCAGCGGGTGGACTTGGCATTTTGGTTTGCTCAAGCCTCTCGCATCGCTAATTTTGACGTAACAAGGTTTACTTATGTTTTTTTACATATGTTTTGGTTGAGAGATGCTTGGACTTGATGGGCTTACTTGCTGGAACCCCGAGCGCACCATACTTTGTTCCACCTGGTGTTCTCACTCCTCGTAGCGAGCAAGTTTTTGTTCACCGTAATGCGCCACAATCGCCACCTGTAGCACCTCGCCCGGATATGCAAACTCAAATGGATGAAGTCCACAGTCGTCTCCACTCCATTGAGACGAACATTACAGAAATTCTTTCATATCTTCGTCCTAGCACCTCCCACCACGGCCGTGGCCGTGGTCGACATTAAATCCGGGGAGTACTCTATTCCTTCTCTACTATTTTAATTTTACATTTTACATTTTGAGGTAAAACTCTTTAAGTGAGGGGGAGTAGAGTGTAGGTTGAATTTCCCTTTGCTTATTTTTATATTTTGATGCTAGTATCTGTTGATTGGATTTGCAAAATTTTCATTGAATTTCTGTCTTGTTAATATTTTTAGTATGCTATGATTGTTTGGGAACACATAATTGTTTAGGTTAGGATATTCTTGATAGAGGATAGCATGAATTGTGATTAAGTTGGTATTTTTGTGATATTCCATGATTTTGTTGGTTGAAATATGCTTAACTTAATGCATGAAAACAATTTAGTGAGATTTGAGCCTTTACGAGCATATTATTTTTGCTTTTATTTTGTTGGATTGAGTGTGTCGAATGTGACACTGGTATTTTACAACATGCATTTTAAATACTGTCGAGATTTCACATGAACATGATGCTTAAAATGATTTGGGCACCTTAGGATTAACCATTCCGCTTTCCACACTAAAATTGCCTACCCATGCATTTTCCCCTAGTTAACCACTCTTGAGCCTATTTTCATTCTTTGTTTTCACCATACTCATAAACCCGAGTTCTTTTACTTTATCACTCTTTTCTACCATTTTCAGGGCAAGTGAATAGTTAATCCGATGTATGCTCCATGAAAAAAAAGAAATAACAAGCAATTCGAAAGAAAGAAAAAAAGAAGCTGTTCGAAAAAAGGAGAAAAACATGGAAAAATGGAAAACAAAGCAACAAAAATGTGAAAAAAGAAAAAAAAATCAAATGCATTTCGAAAAGAATTTTGTTGTTTGATAGTTTGTCTTTTTATCTTGTTGTGCTTAATGTTTTGATGGAGTTGAACTTGTTATTTGTTAGTTCCTTGCCTTGAATTTTTGGCCATATATTTAGCCTTTTCCCCACCTTTACCTAAGCCCCGTTACAACCATTAAAAGACCCTATGATTAATGCACCGTGTTCTCATTAGTAATGGAGATTTGATTTACTTGTAGGCCTATGGTAATATCGTGTCGGTTCTGACATTGAACGTTTCTGTACCCCAAACATATTGAGTGATTTCAGTGAATCCCAGTAAGGTGTTGAGTTATAAGCATTGAGATTGATGAATGAATGAATGTTACAATTGCATTTAACTTGTTCCAATTGGTGATATTAAATTGATTGATGCCTTGACTTGAATAATTCTTGTGGTCTCTACCTTGTTTCCTTGAATGTGAAACTTGACAAAGAACAGTAAATGAAATTTTTGACCGATTTGATTATATCATACTTGAGGAAAAACATGAGATAAGTGAGGGAGAATTTGATGAGTATTCTGAATTGGTAGTATTTCCTCACTAATTCTTCGATCTTATGGATTTATTGCTGCTGATTTGGTTGTGTTATGCTTGTTTTCGTGCAGGATCTTACTTTCCAGACTTAATAGTAAAATGGGTGCATTCTGCATTTTTTTTCATTATTTGGTCATGGCTGGAGACATGGGCACGACTCTGGGCATGACACGGTCTGATGAGGTAGATTCTAGAAGGTCTAGTCAGCAGCAGTTTCTAGAAGATCTAGTCAGCGTGCCTTCTTGAAGATAGACGACAGGAAGAGTTGGATTAGGAGACTTATTTAAAGTTTGAATTTAGAAAAGCAATTATCTTTTGGATTATTTCATTTTATTTTCTTTGTTTATCTCTATATTTTTAGAGGCTATAAATACCCTCTTGGGGTAAGCCTAAACACACAACTCAGATTACAATCTTTTTCTCATTTCTAGTTTTAAAAAAATTCCTCATTTTTTTTTCAAGTTTTCTGTTTTTCATTTTATTTTTACGCTTTGTTTTTAAATATACTAAGTATGACTTTTGTCATGCTTAGCTAATTTTCTCATAAGCCAAGACCTGAAGCGATGACTCAATTCCAATGGGAGAATTGAAACAGGCCCTTAATAACTTTGGAATATCTCTCTCAATCTCTGCACTTATTTTTCAAAATCAAAATAGTTTTCATAATCAAAGATTGACTTTGGTCAAGAGGTTATTGCGATTAAATGTGTGGGAGGAAGGATCAGCTTGTTGAAAGCACATTCGACTTCCTAGGAACACACCTGGCGAGATAGCCTTGCCAAGGGGGAATTGAGATTGGAAGTAGTGGTTATTGAAGCAACAATCCGAGTCGGTCTTCACGAACTTAAACGGTAATTGATCTACGACAATTGATGTTGATTAGATTAGTTTCCGAAGCCGGAGTCAAAGATTGTCTTGGGTATTCGGTATACAAAATAGAGTCACAGGGATTGCCCTTGTAGACAAAGTAACTGACGTGAATCCCGAAGGGAAAATCTAATTCGATGAATTGAAGGAAATTGAGTCAAAACGAAGCTTGAGGCTATTTTTACCATGTCAATTTACAATTTTTAGTCTCCTATTTTTACTTTAGTTTCCTTTATTTATTTAATCTATTTTTACTATTTAATCTCATTTACCAAAATCCCCTATTTTTCTACTTTTTGCCTGGTTAGAACCATTCAAACATAAATTTGGAATTTTCTAAGTCCTTGAGGATCGACCCTTACTTCTCTTTACTAAATATTTCCTTGATTTATCAATTGAGAAGAAGGAATTTATTTGACATCAAAACGATAGTTGTCACTAGACAAAAGTGATGGTTTTCATCCAAATCACCAAGGAAATGAGTTTGGCTAAGCAAGGAGCTTCGATTTCTCAAACATGAAGATTTGCTAGGATTTGAGTATTTAAGCATTTATACTTGAATTAATAGTTAGATGACGAATTTGATGTAAAGAATAAGTTTTTTATGTCACTTTATGACCCTAAGTAACTCCCTAATGCTTTAAAACATGTTTAGAAACCAAACTATGGCATTTAGGGTGATTTTTATATGTTTTTCAAGCTTAAACAAACTATTTTTGGGTTTGAGTATCGATACTAGGATAAACAATATCAATACTGGTTGATTTGGGGAAAATAATTAGGGTTTCTAGAGGGGAGTACCGATACTATTGGGGAGAGTATCGATATTGCCCCTACAATATATATACTAAGGGTGTTTGGTATTGATACTGGGCCATTTTTCAGGATGTAAAAGCTATTTTTAGTATCAATACTCATAGGGGTATCGATACTTGACCCTAGGTTATCGATACTACAAGTGGAGTATTGATACCATCTATCTTAGATGATCAAATTTGAACCGGTTAAGGTCTATAAGAGCTAAGGATGGTTTGTAATGGTAGAACATAGTCCGTGGGAGATATAAATGGCCAAAAGGGCCCCCCCAGAGACATTTGTAAGAGTGGGTTACAACCAGAGTAACCATAACAGACGTTATGCACCCAAGTACTTCCATCCGTACACGTAGCGAGTATCTAAGATCAGAGGATAATTACAGAGGATGTACCGATGAGCTGTAAGACAAGATAATCAGATTACAGAATAACAAAGTTTCATATATTAAGAATGTTAGCGTATAGTGAACAGACAATTATCTCTCCATTTCGAGGGTGAATTGAGAGAATATTTAGTAGGAGCAACTAGATAATCGTTACTCAATGTTGAACCTAAGCCATATATCGGGCCAGCTAGTGTTACAGACAATGAGCAATCAGCTTAGAAATCATCATAAACTC